TCAAAAAGGTTTGTCGTGTTGGTCAGCCGTCTTGTCAGGTATACCATGCAACTTAGTTTGAAAGGTGAGGTAAAGCGGGGCAGCGTTTTCTTTTCCTTCCTCGCCTTCATAAAAGGTAGTGAGCATACAGGGGACCAGGATCTGTGATTCTCCTTTTTTTGTCTCTTCTGCTTTCTCTGGCCACTTGCAAATGAGGTTGAACTTATCCATCAAAGAAATCAGAGAGTCTTTGATAAGACCCACGTTTTCTTTGCTACAGGTATGATCAATTAATCGTTCACGGAGAACTCCTTCTTCTGCCAATTTCTCACGATCTTTTCTTATGCACAACCGTTCGTTATCATCCGGTTTCACTTTGATAATCTCACAGAGTACATTGATTAACCACTGGGGATTCAAGACAATCAGACCACCTTTCTGTCTATCATGTTCGTTTTCATGGTACACTATTGTTCCACGGCCATGCAAAAAATACACAAGCTCATCAAAGTCGCCCTCATCCTCAAACGTGCAGTAGCGTGAAACAATCTTTTCTCGAAAGGATTCCAGCAGAAGATACTTTTCTTGTTGCCAGACGGGTTGGCAAATTTCTTTCTCAACACGATGCCATTGCAAAGGGATTTTTCTCTTGGTATGAGGCATTTTATCGGCCAACTCTAAGATCTTTTTTCGCAACCCAGTGATTTCCTCCTGGTCGGTTGATTTTCCAGATTTTGTGTTATCAATCGGAAGATAATCTGCAATGTGTGGTAAATAAGTGTCCTCATCAAACACAACTGAACACTTCCCTTCTGCTAAAGAATTAATTTGTTTACGTGGATCGTCTACACAGTCAGCATGGGTACCGACAAGTATGACTGGGGGACATGAAAGATCATCGCTGAGAGAACCCTTCTTTAAAGAGTGAATCAAGTCCATCCACCTTAATAAGTGATCCAAATTAGTGTCTTCACCATCGCGGGCTGCTGCAGGGTGCTCTTTGTATCCCATATTCACTCTACATTCTGCTTTTTCACTCAGTCTCTTTGTAAGATCAAACACGAGAAGATAAATGTCATCCGAGGACATAAAGATTGGATGTATAGCACGGTAAATGTCCTGTCCAGCAAAATCCCAAATGGTGGGCCAAATTTTTTCATTAGTGTCACCTTCGTTTTTCTCCAGGTGTTCTTCTAATATTATGGCAATTTCATCTGGAACGCCAAATGGCATCTTTTGATTTTCAAGGTCTTCATCGTCTGAAACCAAAAGAGAAGAATTTTCTCTGTTAAGCGAGTATTCAGCTTTTCGATTGCCTGACAGAAACAGTGGTCCCAACCAATAAATCTGCTTGATGAAATCACTAGAAAGTTTCCCATATTTGTGACAAAATAAGAAGGGGCTAAAGTTTACTATTGTTTTTCTATCCTATCTGCTGATAAAATCTCGAGTTCTCCATATGAATTGTTATATAAAAGCTGTTAGTTTAATTCCTGGTTACAGAAAGTAGTGTGGGGAGTGATTTAAAAAGAGAGGGAATTAGAGACAGTATTTTACCACACTGAAATACAGTTAACGACAAAAAAAAAATAAACCTAGCAAAGTTTGGATTAGCCGCGGCAACATAATATTATGTATTAAAGATCCAGAGCCTAGTTTAAGTAAGGAAAACAAACGTTTGTATTGTTTGCATTCATTTGTTGGTGTAACCGCGAAAGCGTTTCTTCCAGTCTCTGCTTATAAGAACAAAATAAAAGAATTGATCGCCATTATTTCCGGGGATGGTTATTTTCAGGATTTACTCAGGAGCAGGAATCTATTTACTAATCGGAACTTTACGTTATTTTAGGATTTTACACACAGACACAAATAGTATAATAATTTGGTACTGCATAATATATAACACCACATCAAATAGTTTTGCTTGGTAGCTTTCATTTGATTTGTCACATTTTTTATTTTGATGGAATCCATAGACATCTCGAAATTCGGAGCACATTACTGAGCTGAGCGGATCATGTTTCAATGGAGCTACTAACGATGCTGCTAAAGGCGTACATGGCAGAAGGCGTTAACTTACGATTTTTCTGGGCCTGGTTTTCCTTGACCTCACTAGGAACTTCTTCCTGTCGGGGGAGTTGAGATTTTCCTTCACCAGCTTTTGACGAAATCGGAATGTCTGTGTGGGTATAGAAATAAAAGGTAATGAGAGAAATTGGTGTTGAAGTAGATAGCCTGATCCACGCTAAGAAAATTATCTAACTTTAACCCTGAAATATCTGAAGCCGCGTCAGAGGGATGGATTTTCTCTCATGGCCAATGAATCTACTACCTTGTTCTCTCTATGCTTTTCGTCTGTTTCATCTGCTTTTGACGAAATCGGGTTTTCTGTGTGGTTATAGAAAAACAACAGCGTGGAATGTAAGAAATTAGTGTTGAAATATATAGCCTGTACAACGCTCAGAGATTATTCACCTTCACCCTTGAAGAATCGTAAGTCAGAGATTTCCTCTGATGGCCTATGAGACTACTACCTGGTTCTTTTCATACGTTCCATCTATCTTTTAGTACTCTGTTGCGGGACTAGATGATATCTTATTAAAAAAACCCATCAACTTCTAAAGATGAAGGTCAATTCGTGTTTAATTAGCCTATCCCAGGGGAGAGCAAGGGGAAGGGGTTAATGCCACCAACCCAAAGGTTGCCGGGTTTTTTGATTTTTCAGAACCACTTAATTGCTAGAAAATTTTTCCCTTCAGTAACTTTTTTTTTATCTATTCCTTGGATCTAATCCTTGAGCGGTTATGTATTAAGCGGCCAGTTTTCTAAGTCCAGATTTTTCTGCCATACAAACGCTGTCTATGTTTTGATGTTTTGCCCACGATCACCTTAATTTTGTGTCGTAGAAAGTGTGTTTTCCGGATACTTCTACCCCGTTTAACCAAATTGAAGGGCATGTTCTTTTCTTCTTTTCTTCAAAGAAAATTTCAATCTTTATCGCAAACCAATGAGCTCCAGAACTTTTGAGAAACAGCCTCGAGCTCAGGGTTCTTTTTTAACAATTATCACAGAGGGGAAAAGATTAAACAAATTTGTTTAGGACTTACCATCTTCAACAAATAACTGATCTGCTTTGTTAGACGCTACAGTTCTTGGTTTTTTCTTTGCTGGCTGCTCCGAATGCTTGCTTAATAAATCTTCAGCGGTCTTTGCAGCAACCTTATGATCAAATACTGTTGTGTGTTCTAGAGAGGCGGGATTTCTCCACGCGCCTGTTCCAGCATTCTTGATAGCAGGGATCATTTGCACTCCCTCAGTACTGAGTTCGGCCTCATCAAAAGGTTCACCTCTTAGAGCTTTGCCGAGGCTCGTTTTACCCACACGGTCTTGCCCTACGAGCAAAACCTTGACACGTTTATCATATGTACTACCACCAGTCTTAAGGGCCCTGTGATAAGCAGCAAGTGCCTTTTCTCCTCTAACTTGCACAAAGGCTGGAATCAAATCTGAAAGTAACAAAAGAATCGGTTTAACAAATTAGAGGTGACATCAGGTTTCATACTGATGTTAAGTAAGCTAGTCTCCAGACGCAATCGTTTATCGTTCTTGTAGCAGTTAGAAAGATAACTGCACAGTGATTGTTTCTTTAAAGATTAAGAGTTTACTTAGAAATATAGTTTTATAGAAAATTCAAGATCTACGCCACGATCCAGGAAGGCAGCCAGACTTTTAACGCAGAAAATTGCAAAATATAGAGGCTTTGAAACACCACATTGTATTTTTAGCATTTTTAGAAAACTCAATCTTGTTTTAGAGTTGTTCAGGATGCCTGATTGTCGAGTAGAAAGAGTTTGTACTCTTTTTTAAAACTGTTCGAGGGGAGACACTTAATTTTCATAGGTGTTGCTTCTCAGGTCTATGATGCCACTACACTAAACCTTGCTAGGCCATAATTAGTTCTGGAAAACGGTCTGCACAGGTTTTGATTCGTGGCATACCTAGTATTATAATTATGGACATCATGCTGAAGCCGGTTGAACTTAGTCATAGAGGGCACGAGGTGTATCCTTTTTTGATATTGAATTTTATGCACAAGAGCGCCAATTTTTAATTTAAAGATATTCTCTAACTTTAAGATTTCTAACAGTGTAAAGTACGGTGTGGGACTTTCTCTTTTGTTTGCAAAGAAGATGCAGCGAATACAGTTATTTTGACTTACTTTCATTTTATTTAACTTAGTTTGGTATGCGGTACCCCAGCTCATTAATCCATACGTTAGATGCGGATATATGAGAGTATAGTACAGTTTCTTTTAGTGTACTTATAGGCATATAATGTCCAAGCTTAAATAAAATTCCAATGTTTTTTGTTATTTTGCTGTTAATGTGCTGGAGCTGATCATCCCATTTTAGATGTTCATCAAGAAAGACACCCAATTATTTAATCTGGGACTTTTGCTCTATATTACAAGCTGTTATTCTGATATTTGCTTTCTTCTTAGGTGAAGTAATTATCATGTAATTAGTCTTCTTGAAGTTAATGGACAACATATTTGCTGCACAGAATTTTAAGACCTTTCCAATTTCTTCATTGATAACTGATTGTAATTGTACAGGGTCTTTTGAAGAATAGAACATATTTGTATCATCTGCAAAAATCCTAAAAGTTAATTTCTTCGAAGACCTGGGCAAATCGTCAATATACAATAGAAGCAGCAGTGGACCTAGTGTGGAGCCTTGAAGTACACCAGATGTGACGGTTTTTAGGCCAGATTCTGTATTACCAACTTTGACATATTGCTTACGATCAGTTATATAGCTTGAAAACCATGCATGGGGGAGTCCTCGGACCCGATCTTTATATAATTATTCTAAGAGAATATGGTGGTTAATTGTATCAAAGGCCTTGGAAAAGTCTAAAAAGATACCACATGTTATTTTTTGATCGTCAACTGCTGACTTTAATTTTTCCACAGTTTCTAGAATGGCATATTCAGTGGAATATCCCTTTCGAAAGCCAAACTGGAAGTTAAAAAGTAGACATTCTTTTTCCAGATAGGACACAAGCTGGTCATATACTAGTCTTTCCAGTACTTTACTAAAGGGAGAAATAACTGCTATTGGGCTGTAACTTCCTAACTCAGATAGACTACCACTTTAAATATTGGGGTTACTTTTGATATATCAAAGATTCCAGGAAACTCTACTGATAATATTGACTCATTACATATTTCAGTAAACGGTGCAGAGAGCTGTTCAGTTGCAAGTTTAATAAGCTTGTTAGGAACAATGAGGGATGCTTTGTTTTCTTTTAGCCCACCAAATAATGTAAATACTTGTGTGAAGGGAAAAAACTGTTTGATGACGTAGATTCTATATATTGCAAAGGGTCTGTATGATCAGTTTTGATTTCCTTTGCTAAAGTTGGCCCAATGTTTACGAAGAAGTTATTGAATAATTCGGCAATGTCCTTTTCTTGTGTAAAACTCCTTTATTGTAAGTGATTCTCGTGGGGAATGTTTGACCTTTGGTTTTCCTTTTAACAAGGGTACCAATAAGTTTCCAAGTTTGCTTAAGGTTGTCTTTGTACTTTGAAAATTGCATGTTATAGTATTCTGTCTTACTTTTATACTTAAGATGTGAAAGAAGAGCTGCATAATGTTTATATTCCCCGATTTTTTGTAAGTCCTTGCTTACGAAATGTGTACGGTACATTTTCTGTTTCCTTTTTTACCGACTTTAGGATACCCTTAGTGAGCCATGGCTTACTAAGTTGCCTTTGCTTGCTTTGGCTAGCCGGCTTGATAGGCGCAATTTTTTTGTCCACAATTTTATACATTTACAGCAGCAATACACTCAATAATTGTATTGTATTTACAGATTTTCTCATGCAAAAAATTATATCCTTTTCAAAATCTCAGCCTGGGGTTTTTTCTTAAAATAGTCTTAATTTTTTGCAAATTTCAGCCTCGATATTCTCATAAAATATATTCTTATAACATAAAAAGAGCGCACCGTATTTAGTAATTTCATATTAGATAGTGACTTTTTTTTAATTCGGTCTCAAGTATTTCGTTGAGATTGTTTGTACAAAAATTTCCCTATAGTTCTGAAATTATACATGAAATGACTATAACGGTTTAGTGAGGGGAGAGGAGGCTAATCTAAAGTTCCTTCTGATTCTCTTTTTAACTTTGCAGCACATTCAATACTTTGTTTTTTCTGTTTCATGCACTTGAGTCATTTGAGGGATTTTCTCAACGCATACCCTATCTTATCAGGGGCACCCAACGACAATTTTCAGAAAATATCTGTTCGGAAGACGATTTGAGATCTAGAATTTTCGGAACATTTGTTGTAAAATTTCTTGCTTGCCTGCCTCTCCTAGGATTTTCGAACATCTAAAAAATGGTATAGTTGCCCATTTTTTAACGGATTTTTACCCTTAAAAGTTCACCTAGAATTTTCCGGGGCCTTTTTTCTGGCTGAAATTTTCGAAAAGTTAAGTTTTGATCCCTATAATTTTCGCATCACTACACTTTCAGCTAGGAAATCAGAACAGATGAAAAATTTTTAGGGGATAAAAATATGCCTATATCTACCGTTTAAAAACTAAAATACGTTTAACAATGCTGTGTTTAAGAGGTTTTGAACTATATTTCCGTTGGGTGCCCCTGTCTTATGTACACACTCTTATTTAGCAACTCGATTACCCTCCTCTGGGTGCTCCTCTCCCATCACTAAACCATTATAATCATTTCATGTATAATTTCAGAACTATAAGGTAACATTTGTACAAACAATCTAAAAAACAATGTACAACTTCAATTATTTGTGCAAGTTATGAATCTGATGCACAAGAAAGTTATTGTCCCTTGAGCCCAATCCACTGAGCAGTTCTTTGTACGATACCACCCTTGGCTTATTTGGCCTAGATGGGTATGTGCTGCCGATTTAGGGTGGTGACCATTTTACCCTTTAGGGTTTTGAACGGGGCGTCTGTTTGGGCTGTGAAGGTTGATGAAGAGCAGTCTACGGTTATATTCTTGGTACCGACAATTTTTTTTTATGTTTTTAAGTTTAGATTTAAAGAAAAGGACTCTTGGCTAAAAAAGGGTATTGAAATGTACAATGTCTCCTACTACCCATACACTCTTTCAGTGCAATCCCAGGGAGGAGATCTCGCGGAGATCTCGCATTTTCACCCCGGGTAGGGGGGGGGGGCGGTCAACAAATTCACGGGGGAGGCTTCGCTCCGAGGTCCAACCTGTTACCCTTTTTGTATACTATTTTTCACGAAAAAGGTGCCCTTTTCGTGTACCCTCTATTGATAAATATTACTCTTTTCACATACCTTGTTTAGAACTTTTGCATCCCTTTTTACTGTTGTAAATGCATGGTCGTTTAAATAGGAATCAATCACAAAAATAGAACGTTTTCTCGACTTAAAATTCATCTGTTCGGCCCTTTGGGTCCTTTCACAGACCCAAATGACAGATTTCCCTACTCTTTCGTATACTTGAACGAGTAAAATCCCTACCCTTTCATATACCTGAAGCCTTCTACTCGACTAATGGCCACGGCACTTTAATATTACGAAGACTATACATTCGGGTCTTTCACTTCTTTATACGTACGCGCATGGGAGGGTTCGCCCTTCTTTTAGTCTTGTGGGTCTTTTTAACAGAAAACACAGCTTGAGAGCCCGCATTTAGCGAGGTGAAGTGAGTCAGAATGTCGGGCATGCATAGTGAATGTATGGGGTTATACGGAAATCTTGCAGAAAGGGAAACGTAAGCTCCACATTACCGCGGAAAAAAAAAAAGGGGTTACAGCAAAGAAAGAAACGACCAACAGGACAAAAAGCGAATTAATTTCACATTGTCGAATTGCTGGGAAGACAAACTTGATCTCAGCCCGTTTTGCGCGTGCTCGCTGCATGATTGACAGATTTCTTAACTGGGGCGATCATGGAAAGCCGGAAAGTGGCAAGATCAAAGGCCATTGCCACCCCCCGCAGAGTTCAGTGGTCGGATTCTGGCTCTTAGGGCAAGACATTTGTCTAAGTAGGGACCGCGGAAAGGGTGGGGCTGGGGTAGTATGCCCCGGGGGCGAGGGTAGTATGTTTCAGGTGATTAGCTTGTGGGAACGGCGCGTCATTCTCCTCTCTCGATAATAATAACGCAAAAAAAGAATTTGTTAAGAATCAAGATACTCTCTTGTAAATTAATTTACTTTTTGATTAATGTTTCTCACTTTGTTAACATCCGGGTCCGAGAAAAACTGTGTTGTTATTGAATACCT